TGTGGGAGGGCATGAAGTATTTAAAAAAAGTGGTTGACATAAGAATTTATAGTGAGTTAAGACTGGTTCTGAATGTTCATTCGTCTAAAGCATTACCTATGCTAATAGTCTTGTGAAATAGAATTAAGTACCTTAACTAGGGTGTAAACCAACACCTGTCAACTTTTTTTTTTTTTTCTTTCCTTTCTTTTCTTTTCTTTTTTTCATTTCTTTCATCATCACCATCATCGTCATTTCCCTCATGCACACTTTTTATCAGTTTGAAATTTGGCAGTACTTTTGACAAGACTAAAATTACATAACTTTTCAGGGATATTTTTTCAGATATGACTCTCATGACAGGCTATGTAAGTTTGCATATTTCTATTATTAGAAATGCCAAATTAAGAAGTCTAAAAGTAGAGCCAAACAGGCCTTCCTGGGAAAGGCGTGCATTCGCACTCGCATGTGCTGGCACATGCCTCCCCACTTTGGGAAGTGTGTTTAATCGCACACTTATTCATAAAAAATCAGTTGTTATTTACAGCGCCAGGAATTAACAAGGTGACAGAATAGCTTTGATTCAAATTATTAAATTTATTAAAGTTCACAACCCTTGAATTAAAGGCTGATATAATTTACTGCATAATGCAAAACAAATGACAAAACACTAATAGCACACCCTACCACAGTCTAGGGGTGCATAATGCCACACTTGTGGTAATTCATTCCCAGGAAGGCCTAGCCAAACCAAAAAATGTGATCACTCAGTAGCAACTAAAATAAAATTTTATTGTGATGCCAATGTTGACATCACAGTATATTCCACTGGCGCTTCATGACTCTAATGTCAGGCTGGAATTTTTGCCAAGCACAAAATGATGTGTGTGCTTGCAATTCCCTACTCACCATTCACCTTATTTCAAACCTATCATTGGCATTACAAGTTTGCAAAATCTTATTCAATCTGTGTAGGCCCCTGCATTTTGGCATGGTTTGTGCTGCATACTCTGTGTCTCAGAAGATAACTGGTTTTGAACATTCACTATAACTTAAGATTTAGGGTTAATCTTAGATTTTTTTTTATATGATGGTAATTTGATTGCATATAATTATAGTGTAATCATTCCTGTTGAACTGAAACCATTCTTTGAAACTATGGTTTGAGTAAAGTGTAGTTCCCTCATTTAAGGTCAAAAGAAAATCTTAAACATTACAAAAGTACATCTCCTATATTGCAAAAAAAAAGGGATTTGAATTCCATTTTTTTATCATATGAATATGAAACAAATTCTATGAAATGAAGTTACCAAGATAATGCATATTAATGATGCTATATGTATTCAAGATGATTCTACAAAGTGCAACTAATTGGCAACTCAGCGTCCACATTTTGTGACATTGATAAGGAATACAGCATCTTTCAAGCACTTGCTGATAACTAGCTAAGCATCAATAGACACTTTAACGACCTCCTGAATCTGCTTTCCTTTATTTCAATTGCTTTTGGAATCATCCTATATTACTATCACTGAATAATAATAATACTATTTGTCACACATCATCATCATCATCATCATCATCATCATCATCATCACATTCATAGTCTTAGTCATTATCTTATTCTTTGTCTTCTCCAACTTCATCTTCCAATTTCTGGTATTCTGTTTCATCATCATCTTTGTATTCTTTATCATCCTAACTTTCTTCTTTTCTGTTTTATTCAGAAGGCAGCAAACTTTCCATAACAGACAATGAGATTATAGACCCCTAGAATTTAGACATAATGAACAGCAAAACATCTCTTGAAAGATAGGTGAGAAAATTGTCATTTTTGACACCATCCACTTAGTGTGATATGGAAATCAAAAGATAAGATATCCTCTGATTAATATAATCAGTATACAGGCTTATGATCTAATATTTCATTAGGGACTTTTTTTTTTTTTTTTTTAAATAAAAGAATTACAGTAGAGAAGAAGCTAAGATACTGTAGAACAAGATTAGAGGAAATTCAGGTGATCCAGCAGTGGATGTTTTGTCAATTTTGCCCAAAGTTATACGAGACAGACATATAAAAGAAAAGTGAGAGAATGAATAAATAATTGAGTTGGAGAAAGTAAGATAAGGGAAAAGAGAGATAGAGGGAGAATTATCATTTGAATTAATTGATTCATAATTTAGTTTTTTTTTCCATTTGTTACAATGGATACTCTTAATGTGATATGCAGTCTGTTTTGATTTGCTTTTAAATTGCCCCATGTGCAAGGAATGGCCAGAGTTGCCATCCACTGGTGGTGAAGGATTTAAACTCAGGTCAGCAAAATTGCTCAGTGAGATCACTACTGCTGCACCACACAGCACACATAAAATGCCCAATATAATAGGTGGAGAGCGAGAGAGAAAAAAAACAAGATAGATTGAATAAAATCATGAATAATAAAGAAAAACAGACAGACAGAGAGGAAATTAGTGTATGAATAAATGAGAAAAGGAGAGAGAGAGAGAGAGAGAGAGAGAGAGAGAGAGAGAAAATGCCGCCAAAGGTGCTAAGAGGCCAGGAAGGCCAGGGGAGACAGAGTGCCCTGGTGATATCATGAAGGCTTCTTGCACTTACCCAAAATTAAAATTTATCATGTGGCAGTAACCCCTTAGGGATAATTGTCGTAAAAACTGCTTATCAGATTGATCTCCTCTCTCTCTCTCTCTCTCTCTCTCTCTCTCTCTCTCTCTCTCTCTCTCTCTCTCTCTCTCTCTCTCTCTCTCTCTCTCTCTCTCTCTCTCTCTCTCTCTCTCTCTCTCTCTCTCTCTCTCTCTCTCTCTCTCTCTCTCTCTCTCTCTCTCTCTCTCTCTCTCTCTCTCTCTCTCTCTCTCTCTCTCTCTCTCTCTCTCTCTCTCTCTCTCTCTCTCTCTCTCTCTCTCTCTCTCTCTCTCTCTCTCTCTCTCTCTCTCTCTCTCTCTCTCTCTCTCTCTCTCTCTCTCTCTCTCTCTCTCTCTCTCTCTCTCTCTCTCTCTCTCTCTCTCTCTCTCTCTCTCTCTCTCTCTCTCTCTCTCTCTCTCTCTCTCTCTCTCTCTCTCTCTCTCTCTCTCTCTCTCTCTCTCTCTCTCTCTCTCTCTCTCTCTCTCTCTCTCTCTCTCTCTCTCTCTCTCTCTCTCTCTCTCTCTCTCTCTCTCTCTCTCTCTCTCTCTCTCTCTCTCTCTCTCTCTCTCTCTCTCTCTCTCTCTCTCTCTCTCTCTCTCTCTCTCTCTCTCTCTCTCTCTCTCTCTCTCTCTCTCTCTCTCTCTCTCTCTCTCTCTCTCTCTCTCTCTCTCTCTCTCTCTCTCTCTCTCTCTCTCTCTCTCTCTCTCTCTCTCTCTCTCTCTCTCTCTCTCTCTCTCTCTCTCTCTCTCTCTCTCTCTCTCTCTCTCTCTCTCTCTCTCTCTCTCTCTCTCTCTCTCTCTCTCTCTCTCTCTCTCTCTCTCTCTCTCTCTCTCTCTCTCTCTCTCTCTCTCTCTCTCTCTCTCTCTCTCTCTCTCTCTCTCTCTCTCTCTCTCTCTCTCTCTCTCTCTCTCTCTCTCTCTCTCTCTCTCTCTCTCTCTCTCTCTCTCTCTCTCTCTCTCTCTCTCTCTCTCTCTCTCTCTCTCTCTCTCTCTCTCTCTCTCTCATCTCTTCTCTCTCTCTCTCATCTCTCTCTCTCTCCTCTCTCTCATCTCTCTCTCTCTTCTCTCTCTCTCTCTCTCTCTCTCTCTCTTTTTTTTTTTTTTTTTTTTTTTTTTTTTTTTTTTTTTTTTTTTTTTTTTTTTTTTAGATAAAAGAATTACAGTAGAGAAGAAGCTAAGATACTGTAGAACAAGATTAGAGGAAAATTCAGGTGATCCAGCAGTGGATGTTTGTCAATTTTGCCCAAAGTTATACGAGACAGACATATAAAAGAAAAGTGAGAGAATGAATAAATATTGAGTTGGAGAAAGTAAGATAAGGGGAAAAGAGAGATAGAGGGAGAATTATCATTTGAATTAATTGATTCATAATTTAGTATTCAAAATTTAGTTTTTTTTTTTCCATTTGTTACAATGTGATAACTCTTAATGTGATATGCAGTCTGTTTTGATTTGCTTTTAAAATGCCCCATGTGCAAGAATGGCCAAAGTTGCCATCCCACTGGTGGCGAAGGATTTAAAACTCAGGTCAGCAAAATTGCTCGGTGAGATCACTGCTGCTGCACCACACAGCACACATAAAATGCCCAATAGGCGGAGAGCGAGAGAGAAAAAAAAAACAAGATAGATTGAATAAACTCATGGATAATAAAGAAAAACAGACAGACAGAGAGGAAATTAGTGTATGAATAAATGAGAAAAGGAGAGAGAGAGAGAGAGAGAGAGAGAGAGAGAGAAAATGCCGCAAAGGTGCTAAGAGGACCAGGAAAGGCCAGGGGAGACAGAGTGCCCTGGTGATATCATGAAGGCTTCTTGCACTTACCCAAAAATTAAAATTTATCATGTGGCAGTAACCCTTTAGGGATAATTGTCGTAAAAACTGCTTATCAGATTGAATTAATTTTTATTATTATATTTATCATATGATGTTAAAGAGTATGTTTTGGGAAAGCTCTGGTCACCACCTTCATTGAATATAAAACCCTACCTCATCTTACGAGTTGGTTCCCACCCTCTTTATTTTTTGTGTGTGTGAACATCCGGTTCGGCTTTTGTCTGGGTGGCTCCTGTGACTTCCAAGTCACGTTTCATTTCTCTTTGTGAAGTGTTCATTATGTTAATCATTTATTGATTATTGATGTGAATTGATGTGGGATTTTATACTTGTATGAGCATGTATATGCATATAGATAGATGGATAGAATGATCTTATGAAAATTTAAAAGAGGCATTATATTTTGTGTTGTAAATGAAAATATATGGGCATCAAGTTTTGTAAATGAAAATATATGGGCATCAAGTTTTTATTTGATTATTTATTCTTGTAAGATCAAAAGGAAATTATATTAAATTATTAAAAATAAAAATTCATTCGCAGGAAGGGAGTTGTAACGCCTTCAGAAACTCAGGCCGAGAGAACGCCAACAATCAAGACCTTAATAGGAACTTCCCTGTCCAGTGGGAGAATCCCTCAGAAGCAGAGATGGAGAAAGGAAGAGAACCCGAGACATTGGCTGTCATGAGCTGGATTGTTCGGAATCCTTTTGTTTTATCTGGTAATCTGCATGGTGGCTCTGTGGTTGCCAGCTACCCATTCGACGACAGCAGGTTAGTGAAAAATAGATTATAGGTGAAAGGCATTACTGATGCCAATACTTAGTTTCTTTTAATTTTTATATAGATATAGATATAGATATGTAGATAGATATAAATATGTATAGTTAGGTAGATAGTGATATATAGTAAGATATAGATATAGATACTCATATGATCCAGATATATCCTTGTATATTGCATATGTGAATGAATAGAAATACTGGATATAAAAAAAAGGGAGACAAGCAGATAGATAAATTTTTTATTCTTTATTCCTATCACTTTTCATAGTATTTTGCTGGCAGTATTGGTCTATAAACATTCTCATTGGTAATGTCATATGATTGTAGTAGTACCAGTAGTGTCATTATTATTGCTAAGATTGTTATTTTAGTTTCCAATATTGTAATCATTATTGTTTCTATTGTTATTAATATCTTATTAGTACCATTAATAGTGCTATTGATATCTTTGACTTTTATTACTATTATTATCATTGTTATTATTTCTGTTAGTATTATTTTATTTATTTTTTTATTGTTACATATATTATCATTGTAACTGTATTGTTCATATTTTCTATTATTGATATTAGTGTTACAGTTGATGATAATATCATTTCAGTCACTATTATTCTAGTGGTAGCAGGTCAAGGAGCAGAAAAGATAAAGTATCAGCAATGACATTCCAAAATGATAAAGGATTTGATATTGATACAGAATATAAATGGTTGTCAGATTGATTAGTATCAAATGTCTGTAATTGTTGATATGCTACTTTATTTACTGATAGCTTCTTGTATTCTTTTAGTTATTTATGTGTTCCATTGTATACATAGTTTGTATAGTTTTTTTTTTTCTCTCTCTCTTTTATGTGTTTAACAAGTGATATTAATAATTTTATTAGTTATGAAGTATTCCTGCTTGACTTGCACTTTGTGTCTTCCCTCTTCAGCCGTCACCCTGATTGCTGTGTTGAAAGCAAGACTCCCGATGATCAAATTTTCCGCCTCCTGGCCTCTACGTATGCTTCAAACCATGCTACAATGCACCAGGGAAATCTCTGTGTGGGAGATAACTTCCGAGGGGGAGTTACCAATGGGGCTTTTTGGTATGATGTTAAAGGTAAATTTCTAGAGAGTACAGATGGAAGGTTAATTAATTACTGGCTATACTATTGTGGGAGAGAACTGCAGAGTTTTGTACTTCTTGCTCATTTTAGAATATAATTTTCCAGGGGGAATGCAGGACTTCAACTATGTGTATGGATCATGCTTTGAAATAACCTTTGAGCTCTCCTGTTGTAAGTATCCCATGGCATCTGAGCTCCCAGATGAGTGGATAAAGAACAGGGAATCACTCCTGGCATTCATGGAAAAGATTCATATGGGTGCAAAAGGTGAGTGCAGAAGTTTCCTAGCATATGACAGTGTGTGATACATATGAGGCCTGAATGCTGAAGAGTGATCGTCAGATATTTATTGTTTATTATTAAATGCTTTGAAACTTGCTAGGTTCCCCTAAACAAAAAGTTCTCTTTTCAAGGTGTTGTAACGGATTCCGTAACTGGGGAGGGAATTGAAGGAGCGAAAGTGAGTGTGGAGGGAATTAACTACAATGTGACAACTTCATCAAGAGGCGAATACTGGAGGCTGCTCTTACCTGGAACCTACACTCTGGTGGCAAAGGCATATGGGTAGGTTTTCTCTACTAGTTTATTTTCTTTAGTAGGGTTAGATAAAGGAAATTTTTGATAAAGTGCTGATGTAAACTAGGAATGGCTTTCTAGAGTACATATTCATTTGATTATTTGGTTTTGGAAACACTTTTATATATAGCATAATACTGGTTTGATGAGAATCTTTAAATCTGTCAGTGCTCATCTTCAGAATCTTATATTAAGAAATGGAATTTGAAGTGCAGATAAACTTCAAAAGGAGAAAGTTTAGCAAAAAATATATATATATATATTTTGCACCTTCAGTTAACCCATTGCCGCCGGTGAAAAAGAAAAAAAAATGGGGGAAATGCACTACTCATTTTTTATATTTTTGTGAAATATCTCTGGCCATAGATGGCTCTGCTAGTCCTGATTTCACCTTTCCTTGAATTGGCGGGAAAAAACGTATTTTTACTAGTGCTATAAATATAGATGGTGTTATATTTAACAGCAAATTAGGATAACGTTAGCTATTTTCATAGATCAATGAAAAGGGTGAACGGGCGAGACAGGCAGTACTGTAATTGGCTCATTGGATACTTATTGCAAGTGTAGCCATCTATGTGTAAAAACAATCGAACAAGTCGACTCATAGTGGGCATGGCATGTACGTACATGCCATCCCCAGCGGCAATGGGTTAATATATCCCCATGCATCTGCCTCCATAGACTGATGTCAAAAGTTGAAATAGTCCAGTAGCAGTAATTCTCTTTCATTGGAGTACATGGTAATAAGATGATATTGCAAGACAAAATATTTGTCTATATAGCCTTCTTACAAGAAATTCTCACAATTTTTTCCTTTTTTTTTTTTTAACAAACTATAGCAATATTAGTTTCTGAATTTCGAGAACTTTTTCCGGATTTGAACGAAAATGTCAGTTAAGCTTCCGATAGCAACATTTACTACATTATGTAATATGTAAATAGCAAATGATTCTTGGATTCATGCACCTTTTTTTTTTTTGCATAATTATTATTATAACTATAGAACTACAAAGTTTCTAAATGATTGATTATACACGCATTCATTTAGGTACGAGACAGCCCAGGAGAGCGTGGTTGTGGTGAATGGAACTGTTTCTCGTTTGGACTTCAAGCTTAAGCAGATTGCACAAGGTTAGTTACTTTAGTGAAAGAATTTGAATGTTTATTCATACTCAATATTGTGCAATTCCAACATTGAAGTTAGTTTGGATTTTTGACATGAATTTTTTCTCCCTGAAAAGGTATGCTAAGTAGCCTTTTTCTATTGTATTATATGCCATTTCTTGTGTATTTTTTATTTGTAATGATTTTCAGTTCTCCATGTAACAGGAGACAGGTTGGAAAAATTAAAGAGTGTTAAGATTGATCTGCCCATTAAGGAACGTGCAAAACGAAACCTGTCAAAAACTCCATTGTTAACAACAACTAATTCTGAGATTGATACAAAAAAAGACACTGAGGTTACTACACCTGTTGGATATTCTAACACTTACACTAATGAAAGTAACAATTATACCTCTGAAATCTCTGGTACCACAATGCTTCCTGCTTCTAGTCTGGCAATGGCAGATCTTACTGATAATGGAAATGGTTCACTTGCAACTCTTGGTGAATTAAGTAACAGTAGTGTCACTGTTCCTATGGAAGCTTACACTACAATAAGTAGTAGCATGCCAGCAACAATATCATCAGCCAGTAGTGACACTGAGCATTCGGTGGCTGCTGAAAGTTTAGACTCGTCATGTGAGTTTGCACAAGAATAATAACTTGCAAATATTAATGCATGTGTGGCTGGGGATGGTTTTTTTTGTTTGTTTGTTTGTTTTTATGAGATCATAATTTGCCAGTAGACTTCTTCTTCTTCTTTGATTTGTTTGTTTGTTTCTTTAAGTGTAGATATTTTTGTTGAAATATATGTGTTTCTCAAACTGAATCTTTCTGATACTTGTATATTAAAATTACTTTCAAGTGTGTTTTGTGTAATTCAGCTATTATTTAATTTCCATTTCATAGTGTTTTTGCTGTAGAGGGCAATGTTAGGTTTACTTGGCTGAACATACAGACGCAGTAAGATGTACACATATGGAATGAAACATAGCCATAGTAAGAATATTACAATGAATTGTGATATTGTGAATCAACTTGGATACCTCTTTAATTGTTACAAGAATACAATGAAAAAAAAATTGACTTGATTGAATAGGAATCCAGGTTATTCCAATGTATAAAGCAATTGGAATGAAAAGGACTGTGAAATTTTTGAAATAGAAAGAAAGGGAAATGTTAATACAGTTACAGAATATCAGATATCAGGGTAGATGTTATAATGCACAGATAAGAGGATATATATATTGACTAAATACTGTACATTTTTAGAATAATTAGAGTGCTTCTGTATAAATTTATTCATTCATATTACTTGATACCACAAAAAAGTGGTCTCACTTCAGAGCAGACATTTATTTCATGGCCGTTAGAATATTTTACAAGTTATTACTGCTGCCAGCATTTCATGTCTGAGTTCAAGGCTGTGTTGGTGGTGGTATAATTTTTTTCTTTCTTTTTTTCTTTCTCTCTTGGCTTTAGAACTCTTTTGTGCTTCTTCCAAGATTACTTGTTTTAAAGGTGGTGAAGTTTGGTCATAGTCATCTTTCATGGCCTCTTTTCCTAAGTGATTTGTGTTCTTAAAGAATTATAGAATGGTGGGTGGTTAAGGAACATAAAACAGTTTTGTAATGAATTGTCTTAATCTGTTGTCACTCCTTTTCTCAGGATAGTTTCTGTATTTTTGAAATATGCTGCTAATGTTATTATTAAGCACATTTTAGTTTTAGTGTTACTTGGAATGGAAATCATGATAGATGATTTTAAGTAATTTAAATCTTAAAAGTTGAGACATAAGGCTTTGCAAATACTATTTTATTTTAACTCAGGAGTAGTGACAACAGTTTTTGAATAGAAGAAATTTGAGATGGCTTTGATGTTTCCTTTGGGATTTGTGTTTGTTTTTAATAGTGATGTTCTCAAACTTGTCATGGAAATAGATAGCATGAGGTTAAGGGCAGCTCCTTTACATTATGTACCAGTGCTGTGCAATGGTTTTCAAGTGTGAGACTGTTCATATAGCTGTTGTCATGTATTTTAGACCTATTTTATGCTTGTAGGTTTAAGAGTATTTGTTTTAAAACAGCCCCTGTGTCAGCTGTAACTCCACCTCCTGCAGTCAGCACAACTACTACGACAACTACAACAACTGTAGCTACATTTAAACCCAAGAAGCCAGAGGAAGAAGGATTTACCTCAGAGCCAGAGTTTAAGTGAGTGCATGTAAAAATCTGTGGTTAGTGGCCGTAGCATCTGAGATTAAAAATCCCTCTTCACTTAAATGAGTGGAAAAAAACATGGTTTTCATATGTATTAGCTATAGCAATGTTTATATCAATACATTAAGGGAATACCAAATGAGAGTAGAAAAATTCCAGTTTTTGATTATTATTATTATTATTAAATAATAATATTAATTATTATTATTATTATTATTATTATTCAGGCAAACACACCCCAGATGATCAGTCATCCTCTCCAGGTTAATAAACCTGCTATATGATAATAGTATATTTTCTCTCATATGTACACCTTCTCTCTTCAAGATTTAAAACATATTTTCCTGCTGCAGATATCACCATTACCCAGATTTGCAAGATTTCATGATGAAGTTCGCTAAAAGATACCCAAGTCTTACAAGATTATATTCCATTGGTACAAGCGTAGAAGGCAGAGAACTCTACGTCTTAGAGATCTCTGACAACCCTGGCATTCATGAGCCTGGTAAGTTGAGGCAAGGATTGGTTCATATAAAATTTTTAAAGTAACATGTCAGATATTTTATCATCTGAATGAGATTTGGCATTACTTGAAACCATAAAAAGATCTAAGAAAATGATCCTGAGAACAAAATATAATCAAAAGCCTGAAAAACAAATAATGCAAGTAATTTTTTTTCTTCTTCTCTTCTTCTCTGTAACTTGTAAAGGTTTTTCATTATTTATCTTGTTCCTGCAGGTGAGCCAGAATTTAAATATGTTGGCAACATGCACGGGAATGAAGTCGTAGGACGTGAGACACTCCTTTTGTTGATACAGTACCTGCTTGAAGGATATGGTGTTAATGACCGTGTTACAAGTCTTGTTAATGATACAAGAATACACATTTTGCCGACTATGAATCCAGATGGTTTTGAGGCTGGAAATGAAGGTAAATTTCTATGATTTAGTTTTAATTGTGTGGAAATCAAACTCATTATTCATATGTTCATTTATTAGTTAATTTATTTCTTGCTTTTTGATAAGATGTTATGTTAATATTTATATTAACCTATTTGTTATTTAGCACAATATCCATATTTTCTTTCTCTCGTCTTTTGTTTTTTGTTTTTCTTCCCCCCCTTTTCTCCATCATCATTTTTTAGTTAGTCTTTTAGTTTTATGTTTGTTTTGAAACTTTTTTCATTGTATTTTTAATGCCTGTATGTTCTATAGTGGAGCCAATGTTTTCAGGTGACTTTGCTGGAGTTTTAGGAAGAGCCAATGCTAATAACAGAGATCTCAATAGGAATTTCCCAGATCAGTACTTCACCAACCAGGTATTTTTGAAGTTCTGGACATTTTTTATCTATAGAGTAAAGAATTTCTCATATTCAAAAGAGATAGAGATATGATGAGATGCTTTTGAATTATTACTACATTCTGATATTTTGCTCACAAGTGTCAATGCAGTTCAAATAATCTTTTATTGGAAATTATACTTGCAAATAATTAAAAGCTACTTAGTATAAATTTCATTTCGGATTTTTTTTCATCTTCTTCTTTCTGTTTTTCATTTTTATTTTCATGCATTTTTGTTGTATTTTTTTATTATTGATTGATTTCTTATTAATCTTAGACATTTGGAGAAATGTGCAAGTTATATTTTATACCAAACTTTTCCAGCAAAACAGAGTTCAGGAGCCAGAAACTTTAGCTGTGATGAAGTGGCTGAAGGAGTATCCCTTCGTCCTCTCGGCAAATCTCCATGGAGGGTCTTTGGTTGCCAACTACCCATGGGATGACAACCCCCAGGGGAGAAGTGGCCTCTACAGTAAATGTCCAGATGATGAGATCTTCAAGAAGTTAGCCAAAGCCTACTCATTTGTAAGTTTATCTGGATTTTTCTCTTTCAATTTGTGTCACTCTCAGAGACATTACTCTCTGGGGGTTAGTGGTTTGTATAAAGATAAGGCAGTGTGATATGGCATTGCAATTAAAAGTAGGTTTGTATACATTGCTCAAATATAATTTCTTACTTATGTCAGGGCCTGATCCAGATCACATTTCATTTCACCAACAAGCCTTGTCAGATTACGAAATTAGAAATGTATTTCAAACCAAAAAATATTTGCTTTCAGGCTCACCCAAAAATGCCACATGGGAAACCATGTAATAGTCCAAATGTGGTATTCCCTGATGGTATCACAAATGGTGCCAGGTGGTATAGTGTATCAGGTGGTATGCAAGACTACAACTACTTGCATTCAAACTGCTTTGAAATAACGGTTGAGATGTCATGTAATAAGTATCCATATGCAAAGGACTTGCCAACATACTGGATGGAAAACAAGAATTCTCTTATTACATACATGGAACAGGTGAATAAATTCTATCCCAATTTTTTTGTTATATAATCTTGAGATAAGTGAATACTTTACATGTCTTGTAAGTTTGTATATAACCACTGACCTATGCCTCAGAAAGATAAGAATGTGTGTATTTTAATACATAGCCTTATGTTTTTAGGTCCACACTGGATTGAAAGGATTTATTTTGGATGAAAATAATAATCCTATCAGTAATGCTACAATCTCAGTAGCAGATATTGATCATGACATTGTATCAGCTGCTGATGGCGATTATTGGAGACTCCTTGTGCCAGGAGAGCACCTTATTACAGTGCATGCCCCTGGGTAAGTAATTTTCTTTTTGTGTGTGTGTGTATGTATGTATGTATGTATGTATGTATGTATGTATGTGTGTGCATGCATGTCACCTATCATTATGTGATCTACATAAGCATACAAATAGATATAGCCAGGTACAGACTCAAGACATTACTATTGCAAGGTCAGCACTCTAAAATATATCACCTCCAGGAATTTATAGTTAGACCTACTATAGCCATTCATAATATCCAGGTATCAGCCAAGTAGCAAGAAGGTCGAAGTTCCTCACCTGTGGTCGAAGCAGGTCAACTTCACCCTAAAGGCTGATGGCTCTCAGGACTGGTCTGTGAGGGAAGATTTCAGCATCACAGAGAACCTTGGGGAGACCTATTTGAGCAACTCCGAGCTCAGTTCAGCCATGGCCAAGATTGAAAACGATTACAGGGAAGTGGCTGAATTTTTGGCCAATGAGAATGAGTGGAGTATGAAAATCCATGCTCTCCATATGGCTGCTGAGGTAAGAGAGACAGGGATTATGTTGTCAGTTAATGATGATGAATATCTACCTACTTTATCCATTTTTGAACATGTCTGCAATGTGGTAATGTACATTCATGCCTTCAAATTTTTGACCGACAGCAAGAGGCATCATTTGACAACAGAGTTCGAGTAGTGGTAGTTGGGGGGTTGTACGGTGCTCAGCCTGTTGGTCGTGAGCTTGTCATTCGTCTTGCTCGACACCTGGGAGCAGGATGGGCCAAAAAGGACACGAAGATACAAACTTTGCTAGAGAATACAAGGATTTTCCTTGTGCCAGCAATTGATATTGATGGTTTTGATGCAGCTATTCCAGGTATTTTACTTTTCTTTTATTCTGTTTTTTACTTCCGTTTCTCCACTTGTCTATTCTTTCTTATTCTTTCTTATGTTGTATGTTAAGGTGCTATTTTATTGTGAAAAGATACTTTAATAGTAGAGAAATGTATTTACATACTTTTTTCTTGATTTGCATTACTTACTTTAAAGTATTTCAAATAGCATTTCCTTTTGAAATATATCAGTGTTTACTTCTTCTGTTGTGTAATGATTATTTATGATCTAAGAGGAACAAGTTCAAAGTTCTTGAACAATTTTTGTCAGTTAAACTGACTTACTTAAATGGAAAGCACAACTGCATTTTTACAATTAAAGTAAAGACACCATTTTGTGTCTTTACTTTTTCTTTCTTTCTATCTTTTTTTTTTTTTCTTTTCTTTTTTCCCTATCCCTATAATAAGGAGGATCTCATGATAGGAGCTTAAACTTCTTAAATTCCAACTGACCTTACTGCAGTATCTAGTACTACTACATCACAAATATTTGATGTAGTTATAGAAAAATAACTGGTAAATATAAGACTCAGCCGGTTTATAAAAGAACATATAATGGAATTTTATTTCCTCTGAGGATAGAAATTAATTTCATATAAAGCGTAGATGATGATGATGATGATTTTTTTTATTATTATTATTTTTTTTTTTTTTTTTCATTGTATTAACTATTGTAATTTACTTGCTAATCGTCTTTGTCCAGGAATGTGTGGATACAGCAAATTAAGTGAGATGCAGAATGAGGTTGGAGGCTCATTCTCACCAGAGATTAGCAATACTTATGCTCAGGCTACAATTTCAATGTTGGAGCAGATCAAACCACATGTTGTGCTCTCCCTCGAGTCTGGAGGAATCTTTATGAGGTGAGTTGTTCTCCAATTTTGTGTACATTTAGATGGCTTCATGGACTCTTTAACACCTAAGAGTCAATTATTATGTTCTTATTTTAAATACTAATAGTGTCATTATCATTATATATATATATATTTTTTTTGTTGTTGTTGTTGTTCATTGTTAACAATATTGTTTATTGTAATGTTATTGGCAATAATAGTAATATAAGTGAAACCTTGCAGTGCCCTCAGTATCATGAGTTTTTGGTTCCCAGCAAATTTCAAAATTTTTGAAGACTTTCTTGACTTTACTTATGAAGGAATTTATGAATTATTATTATTTTTTTATTTTCCAATTTTGATTTTGTAGTTATTTGTGCATGAAAGGGAAGGTATTTAAAAAATAATAATTTTAAAACCTTGGTTCATGGAACCTTTCAAGACTTTATATTGCAACCAACAATTTTACACCCAAGCAATGTCAACAGTTAGTGACTTACAATATGTAAAAAGATAATGAACACAAACCAAAAGAAGCAGTTGCCTGTCCGATTCTCCTCAAACTTTATTCCTGCAGGGAAGCAAACAAGCACAGCAGTATGCCAGAGCACTGGATGTATCAGTAAGAGCTGTATATATGAGAATATTTATCGTCACGACATCCTTTCTTTCACGCATTCACAGGTTCCCACGGGATGACCCCTCGGCAAACACTCCCATGACTCCAGACGAGGCCAATTTCCAGTTTTTGACAGAGACATATGCACATGGGCATCCTACAATGCTGCAGGTTGGTAGTACTTACTTTTGCTGGTATTGTGATGCACTTGTTTTTTTTTAATAAGCATGGGTTCAGTGAGGGAGAGGAAGATCTTTGGAAAAGGAGAGAGAGAAAGAGAGGGAGAGAGAGAGAGAGAGAGAAAGAGAGAAAGAGAGAGAGAGAGAAAGAGAGAGAGAGAGAGAAAGATAGAGAGAGAGAGAGAGAGAAAGAGAGAGAGAGAGGGAGGGAGGGAGGGAGGGAGAGAGAGGGAGAGAGAGAGAGAGAGAGAGAGAGAGAGGGGGAGAGAGAGAGAGAGAGAGAGAGAGGGAGGGAGAGAGAGAGAGAGAGAGAGAGAGAGAGAGAGAGAGAGGGAGAGACAGAGAGAGAGAGGGAGAGACAGAGAGAGAGAGGGAGAGACAGAGAGAGAGAGGGAGAGACAGAGAGAGAGAGAGAGAGAGAGAGAGAGAGAGAGAGAGAGAGAGAGAGAGAGAGAGAGAGAGAAAAGAGGGGGCGGGAGAAAGAGAGGGAGAAATGAAGATGAATGGGAGAGAGAAAAAGATGAATAATAGCTGACAGATAGATAGAAGTAGTAGATATTTATTTATATTTTCAGTTCATCAGTCAGTAGAAATGTTGAGGCACATAAAAAAATATATTTTGAAGCCCTTTGATAACAGGCTTTGTATATCTTTAACTAACAGATATCATAGAGAAGTTTCCTATAATGTCATGTTCATATGAAGAATGACACATCATGTGTCACTTAAACAAAGATCTAGAGTGAGTTGAGAACTTCGTTGCCAAAGCAGACGAGCAAGAATCTGGGATCCAACACCCTGAGCCAGCTCGGAATGGTGGCTTCTCAGGTTGAATTACAAGGCCAGTTACAGCTGCTTCATGTGAAAAACTTGAGATAGCTGTTGCAGACTAAGGTCAGAATTCGTTAGGAATTGCACCAAGCCAGACACACTGCAATAAGCACTCGTCTTTTTTTTACAAATTTCAAATTTACTCAATGACTGCAGATGGCACAGCATTCATTCCATGTCCTCTGTAATTATAGTTTATTGATACAAAGATGGGCCCACAGATGCTTTATCACCAAGACGATTTATTAGTCCTACCTGTCTGATATGTTTAATCTTTTCTTGATTTGCAGAAAAGCTGATTTTTATTATTTTACTATTTTGCTGTTATTGGGATTTCTATAATATTATAATCACTAAAAACTGCAGTACATAATCCTGCAGTCATTGTGTTAATCAAGATAAAAGACACCCAGTATAACTATATTCCCACAGTGTTTACAACAATGTGTGGTGTTAATGAAATATCAATGTATTTATAATTATTCACAATTGTCATAGCACCTTCCACATTAATTATTGTAACTATTGGGGTAGTAGATGAAGACACCATTAAATGTTATAGGTCATCATTGTCCTTAAATTTAGCATTGCACTATCTGTGTATTATTCACTATATCAATTACACATTAGGATGAATTGCATGCAGCACAACATGAAAGTATTTATAAAATTGGTAATTAGACTGATTTCTAAATTGTGAAAGATATTATTCATTCCATTGCTTGAGAGAGAGAAAATGTAGAACAATATCTTAGTATCAGATGGGCGTATTTTCTGATTCAGTGAAGCTTAAGTGAGACAAAATATATACTTTACTATATTCTTGAAACTGACACATTTTACTTTGGCATAAAGCTCAGATGTCTAAGGCTTTTGCTGTTTTACTAGAGTTGTTCCTTTTGGAAGCATAATTTGAGATGACAGTCAAATCCAATGCATTGTAGACACACCCATTTGGGCAGCATTCAGACATAGGCATGTGAGGGTGAGTCAGTAAGTCAGTTTTTTTTGTTTTTTTTCTTGAATTGCCTTGTCTTGTCTTGTCATCATTGAAAAGTACTGTACTTGATGGGAGGTGGCATGCTGCATATTCCTATTACCTTGTCTGAACATGGTTTGCTGGGGGGATAGAGGATAAGAGACCATTTAGGAAGAGGGGGTACTGTATGGGACAGGTTGAATCATTGTCCTTGCTGTACGTAGTTGCTATGTGCAATCTCACTCTCAGAAATCCCTTAGGAACTGTAGCTAGTTGCTATTAGTGATTTATATTC